ACGTAAGTATAAGTAACAGCAGAAGGGGACATTTACCAAAATTTAGAGTAGTAATTTTTTTACAAAATTTGTATTTGAACCAAATTTCTACCTACTATAATTTCTGAGAAAATTACAATCAAACTGAGTGGTATAATTCCTTGCCAACTCTCTTGTGGTACCTTAATTTCTTATGTTCAAATCCAAATTGAAAATTTGTTTCACAATACAAAAAAAAGTATTCTTCTCCATCTGCTTTCACGAAGCAGCGGACATACGAAAAATAATTATTTACTAAAAGCTTTCTCCTAAAACATTGAGAAAATATTCCTAAATTTCCTAAAATATCTTCCTCCTCGTCACCTTTCTCGTAACATTAATCAAGTAATAAACCTTAGTTTTTTATGTTCCAATCTGAAATGAAAATTAGTTTCGCAACGCAAAAAAAATTGCAAAAAAAAACTGAACAAGAAAGAAAGTAAATATTCCTAAATTTCCAAAAATATATTTCTCCTCGTCACCTTTCTTCTATCAAATAATCAAAATAATTAACCCTAATTTCGTATTATGTTCCCAGTATTCCCGACCAAAATGAAAATTAGTTTCGCAACGCAAAAAAAAACTTGCAAAAAAACTGGACAAGAAAGAAAGCAAATATTCCTAAATTTCCAGAAATATCTATTTCTCCTCGTCACCTTTCTTTCACCAAATAATCAAGTAATTAACCCTAATTTCTTATTATGTTCCCAGAATTCCCGACCAAAATGAAAATTAGTTTCGCAACGCAAAAAAACTTGCAAAAAAAGAACTGAACAAGAAAGAAAGAAGTATTCTTCTCCATCTACTGCTTTCATGAAACCGTATTTGTGCGGAAAAATAATCATGTTTACAAGAAGCATGGTGCATACAGGGTAGCCTTCACCTTGGTCTTTTCTTCGACTTATTTGATTTATTACTTTCCTCCAAATTGACTGGACACGAGGAGTGTCCGTCGTTGTCGGCCCCGTAATAAATGAAAACACGAAAATAACAAAGTCGAAAACACAAATTATTTCTTCCTTCCCTGCTTTCTCCCTGCGTGTGTACATAAAAAAACAGCCACCACGACCAGTGACCGCGGAAGCCGTGGGGACATTAAAATTGTAGGATAGGGTAAGGATGGGTTTATTTATGTAACATGGGCGGATGATGAGGACATCAAATAACTATGGGGACATTGTCCCTCTGTCCCCACCATACCTGTTCACCTTCATTCATTTGACTGATTATGATAGTGAGTGATAGTGAGTGAAAATGAATTTCCTGTGATTTGAACGAAAATGAATGAAAGATTCCATCATTTCAGATGAATGACTGTGAATGAAGGATTTCTCACTCATTTCATTTTTCACCCTATGCTTAATACATGGGGCGAAGTAAGAAATGAAGTCAGATGAAATGAAGTGAAATGAATTTGAACCAAAATGACTAAATGTGAATGAAAATCTTCCGTCAGAAAGAGGGATGAGTGACTTTTGAATGAATACTAAATTTTTGAACAGGTATGGTCCCCACCTACCCTTCCGCGGCCACTGATCACCACCACTTTCTATTATTTGGTGTTGATGAAGATGAAAAGTTTCATTGTCGTCGTTCGTCCTTTACCTGTGCTCCCCGTTAAGTCGATATGCCTCAATTATTAATGGTTCTTTCGTTCAGCCTAATGTGCATGTATGTATACTGCATTTCCCTCTTAAAGTAAGGAGACAACCAGACCAGGGGCTCAGGAAAAAAAATTCGGGGACATTTATACCTCACATCTCATGAAGTTAATACCGATAAAATCTATAATTATTAGAAGGATATTTTAAATACTTGTGCCGTACACTCAAAATAAGGTAGTAATGAATCATTACCATGCGGAATGACTATGTGGCTCTACCACGTCGGTTACGATTTGTCGTAGAAATGGTAATAATAATTTCAGGGAAATTCAAATTCATTACCAAATGTTAAGGAAGTGAATACCATTATGTATTAAATTTGAATTTCCCTGAACTTATTATTACCATTTCTACGACAAATCGTAACCGCCGTGGTAGAGCCACATAGTCATTCCGCATGGTAATGATTCATTACTACCGTATTTTGAGTGTATTTTTTTTTAAAATACGTTACATCCAACTGGCGTCCAACTTTAACGGCCTAATGAAAAGCATTTCCCTCTTAAACTTATGAAGACGATCAGACCAGGGACGGAGGAAATGGTGGGCAGGAAAAAGATTGGGGGACAGTTGTAACTTTTTCTGCATAAAGTCTAACCAATTTTGGTCAGAAACTGCTATCTGTTAAATAATTTGTTGAAATTAATTTTTGTCTAAACATACACTAACTGGCGTCCAACTTTAACATAATGAACTGATGTAAATACGTAGGGTTGGAGGGTTGCCCACGCCCTGGGCATTTAGGCATTTATGGCATAGGGCATTTGCCCTATTTGCCCGGCATTTAAATCAATGCCCCCATAAGCTCAAGGTTATAATAAATGCCTAGGGCATTTATGCCCTCGGCAAATGCCCAAAATTCCGGGAATTTATTTTCATGCCCACGACATTTCTTTCTTATTTAAGGAGGCGACCATGCAGGGACACTGGAAAAAAAATTGGGGGACATTTCTAAATATTTTACATCCCAAGTTAATACCTGCTAAAAAATGTCGTCAAATAGTACCGAAATAACTTAATATACAATTAATCTTTTAAATACTTGTGTCGTATTTTTTTCTAAAAATATACCAACTGGCGTCCAACTTTGGGGTAATATACTGCATTTCCATCTTACTTAAGAAGACCCCTATGCAGGGCCAGAGGACAAAAATTGGGGGACATTTATAAATAAATGTATCATCTGAAATCCAGAAATTTTGCTAATATAACTCGATTATCTATTAAATAATCGTGCATTTTGGTTTTCTTGAAAAATACACAAATTGGTGTCAAATATGTTCTATAAACATACAGGAAAAATTAATTCGCCTCGATATGTGCAATTTTTTTAGCTGAAATTATCCCTCTAAAAAGGTAAGTTATGGCAAAATGCAAAATGCAAAATGCAAAATGCAAAATGGATGTTTGACTTTTATTGAATGTAAGTAAATTATGCTATATTTTAGAATGAAAGAAATAAATTTATTCTTAATATCTTTTAAACGATTTACATTATTTTTTTCCTAAAAATGCACAAACTGGCGTCAAACTGTTGTTCCCGTGCGATTAATTCACCTCGATTTATGCAGGTTTTTGTTCAACTTGAAATTATCAGTTTAAAAAAATAACAAATACGTAACGCACTCATAATTGAGGTCTCCCGGCGTATGCTATTCGATTTTGAATAAATTAGTGTCAATCTAGAACAAATTTAATTGGTATGACATTTGCGAAAGACATGATCTCCAAATGGGCACGTTTGGCAGAGATATTTGCATCCGAAAAGGAGAAAACGTGCCGAAGTCGATAAATTTTTACACTTTCTAAATTTTTTGCGCGTTTTCTCTTCTTCGGATGCAAATATCTCGGCCAAACGTACCCATTGGAAGATCGCGTCTTTTGCAAATTTCATACTAATTAAATTTGTCATCTATTAACACTAATTTGCTCAAAATCCGAGAGCGTACACTGGGAGACTTCCATTCTCGTCAGATTTCGGTAAAATTACGATATTTACAAACCTTTCTACAAATTAAAGAGATTCTCAAAATCTCTAGTGCAACTTCTTGCCGTAAAAAATGTCCCCCGTAAAATTTGCGCGGCCTGTGTTGTGCCATATTCCAGTCAAAAGTTTCATATTTGTTTGTCTCCTCCAATCCCTATTTTATTCATCCGTCTGGTTTAATTACGTTTAATTTACCCAGTTCGGTCCGTCTCCTTCGCCTCGGATTAAGTAGTACACGAGCCGTTGGAGATTTATGATTAATCACTTTTTTCCGGTGCGTGATATAACGAGGCAATGTCGTCACACCCGCCGCACCAACAACCAAACCACGTTAACTAATATGCTTAATATCCCATCAGGGGATTGCTAAGCCATTTGATTGCGTATGCACCTTAGCCACGGCAATATTTAACATTCCCATTCAACTCAGCATTATGTAAATACGCGTTGTGTAATAATTCTAATTTATAGAAGAAATTGTGAATGAAATCAATTCGCAAGTTAGATTTTTGGCAAGTTTTTTAGCGATTTTTGTAAGTTCAAAATTTGTACTTCTCCAAAATATCTGAAGAATATTCTTCATGAAAGATAAGAATTGCGACTGCAAATCTTTTTCAATTCAGAATTTTTGCAATCCAAAATCCAGTTTGTTTTTAAGCTACAAAATTATTAAAAATTTGATTTTTCTCACTAAAAAAATTATATAAATTCTCAAAGATATGTGTATCTTAAGCATATTCTTCGCATTAAATTAAAAATTATGAGTACAATTCAGAATTTCATTCAAAATTTAGTTTTTTAAAAAATTAATTTGTCCAAATATAATTCAGTTTGTTTTTAAATTACCAAATTTCCAGAAATTGTCCTCTACGCTCTTCCGATCTAAATATTCTCCACAAAAAATAATATTTTTTTCGAAACGTGTCTAAACGTCGTTGAACTGTGAGTATTTTTTTAAAATACGATATTCAGTATTCGTCTTCTATTTAACAAAAATTTGACTTTTATGGTACAATCTTTCAAATAAAATTGACCTTAAATTATTTTTGGCAAAATTTGTGCATAAAAAATGGCATTTAAAAAAATTTGACTTTTACGGTTACATTGTTGTACTAAAATTTAATTTAATTTTTATGAAAGTTTAGCATAAAACTGGCAATTTAAAAAATTTGATTTTTACGATTAAATTGTTGTACTAAAATTTAATTTAGTTTTTATGAAAATTTTTGCATAAAAAATGGCATTACTAACAAAATTTTACTTTTACGGTAAAATCGCTCTAATAAAATTTGGCCTATTTTTGCACAAAAAAATGGATTTTTTCTGCTTACCTGGCGCCTCCTCTTGTCCAAAGTAGAGGAACCCGAAGGCCCCGACGCGATACTGCGGGACGACGACGATGACGTTGTTTTCGGCGGCCAGAATGTCGGCGTTGTAAATGTCCAAGGTGGCCGTTCCGGAGACGTAGCCTCCCCCATAAATCCAGACCAGGATGGGCATCTTCCGCTTGTTCGGGTCCCCGTGTTTTTTGGCGGGATGCTTAGGCGCCCAGATGTTCATGTACAAGCAGTTTTCGGAAATGTTGGTGTTTGGGGTCCAGGTGACCTCGCCGCGGAAGCCGGGAAAGGCCACGAACACTTCTTGGTAGCAGGTGTCAGGTTGGTGAATCGCGTTCAGGGTCCCGTTCCAGGGCTCGATTGGGACAGGCTGACAGAGGCAGAAATTGGAACAATTTAGAAATTAATTTTTACCGTATTTCTCACTTTTCGAATCAAAGTTTCTAATATTTTTTTTAAATGTCAAAATTTTTGCAGATATTTGCAAATATTTTGGCTAATTTATTGAATTAGAGGCTGGAATTTTTTGTATTATTTACGTTATCACTGAAAATATAAACATTTTAGTGAAAAAAAACACGAATATTCTGAGATTAATATTTTGACGTGAATGATGTTTTTTGACATTTTGACATTTTTTAAATTTTTGTTAATTTCGACGGATGAAAACATTAGTATAAAAAAAATTGTGGAAATTTAAAACTATAGCTTTCTAAATTTTTCATACATTGGACGAAATCTATTTTGTTAATATCAAAATGTTTACAAATATTTCAGCCAAATTGGGAAATTTGACTATTAGAAATTTTTGTATTATTTAAGTCATTGAAAAAATAAACATTTAAATGCAAAGAAAAAATATTATGAAATTAATATATTGACGTGAATGATCTTTTTGACATTTTAACAATTTTTAAATTTTTGTAAATTTCGACGGATGAAAACATTAGTATGAAAAATTGTGGACATTAAAAATTATAACGTTCTAAATTTTTCTAAACCGGAAGAAATCTCAAATTTGTCTTCAAATTATCAAAATTTCGACAAATACATTAACTAAATTAGAGACCGGAAATTTTTGAATCATTTAAGTTACCACTGAAAAAATAAACATTTTACTAAAAAAATGCTGAAATTCATATTTTGACGTGAATGAACGAAATCGCATTTTTACCAATTAAAACATTTTATAAAAAATTGTGGAAATTCAAAATTATAAGTTTCTAAATTTGCTATAAATCAGAATTTTTTAAATGTCATAAGTTTTGCAAATATGTTGGCCAATTTATTAAACTAGAAAATTTAGCTGCCAATTTTTGGATCAGTTAATTTATAACTACATAAAAATAAATATGCCACCGCCTATCAATCTAATTATCTATATAAAAAAAATATTTAATAATAAAATTCTGAAATTATTATTTTGACGTGAATGAAATCACATTTTTGATATTTTTGTCAATTCCAACAATTCTAGGAGAAAACATCATTATGAAAAATTGTAGAAATTCAAAATTATTACTTGCAAAATTTTTAATAAATCAGAAAAAATCGAAAAAAATCTTAAACATGTAAAATGTTTTTTTTATACATTTCGGCGAGCTTATCAAACCTACAAAAAACCTACAAAAAAACAACATTTTAATTTAAAATAACTAAAATTAATATTTTGACCTGAATGATATCCCATTTTCGATATTTTTTCAATTCCAACAATTCTAGGGGAAAAATTATTATGAAAAATTGTAGAAATTCAAAATTACAACTTTCCAATTTTTTAATAAATCAGAAAAAAATCGACAAAAAATCTTAAACATGTAATTTTTTTAATATGTCGGCCAGTTCACCTACAAAAAATGATACCTTAATTAAAAATCAATAAAATTAATATTTTGACGTGAATGTTATCCCATTTTCGACATTTTTGTCAATTATTTCTAGATGAAAACATTATTACGAAAAATGTGGATAGTTATAATTTCAAAATCCTCCAATTTTTCATAAAACTCTTCGAAATTCTCACCTTTTTGAAACGCAATAGGTATTATTAATTATTATTTCGGCGTGAATGATATCACATTTTCGATTTTTCTCAATTCTGACAATTCTAAAAGAAAACATCATTATGAAAAATTGTAGAAATTCAAAATTATAGCTTTCTAAATTTTAATAAATTTCGAAAAGATCTAAAAAAATCTGAAACACTTACAAAAATTACTTCTAATGGCCAACTAAACCCTTAAAAACATAACACTTTAATTAAAAAATAAACATAATTCATATTTTGACGTGAGTGATACACCATTTTCGACATTTTTACAAATTCTGGAATAAAACATTATTACGAAAAATTTAGAAAGTTCTAATTTCGAAATTCTCACCTTTTTGAAACGCAATGGTCCCAGGGGCGGTTTGGCGAAGGGGACGCCATAAAAGAGATGGACATCTTTCTCCAAAACGGTCTTCTTGAGGCCGCGCAACGCTCCGGTGGTGGTCATGACGGTGGAGCTCATGTGGCGATGGGGGCCCGTCCGGTGGGCGTGGTCGGGATGGTCGTTCATATTGTTGTGACGAGACGGGTGATGATTTCGCGACAAGTTCGTCTTGATGAAGGTGTCGTACGTGTGCTGTTGTGGCGCCGCGTCCACGTCCACGAGAAGGACGCACGCAGCCACCACCAAAGCAAGGAAGGATACCATGGCTGGTATAAGATGCATGTTGATTCCTGCAAAACAAAATAAAAATACGCCATGAGTTTTTAATACAACTTCGAATGGCCCGAGTCAGACTGTTTCTCAAAAAATTTGAAAAACATAGGTAGCAGACAAATATAATATTTAGTGGTTTTCATAATCCCTGATATTGAGATTAAAATAGATGAACAATAAATACGGGATGGTTTTATCATGCAGCTTCAAATGGCCCGAGCTGCATCGTTTCTCGAAAAATAAAAAAATGGCAGACAAATATAACACTGCTTATATAAGCCCTTAATCGCCCTAAAAATACAAATAGATTAACACAATAAATATACCGGGATTTTTTTTTCATACAACTTTCTATGTAGCCCGAGTCATAGCTTTAAAAAAAATATTAATCGGTACAGATCTCCATCGTTATGAAATAGAAAAACATAACAGGGGTTACATAATCCCTGAATCAAGTTAAAAATAAATACGTCACGGTTTTTCATACAACTTTAAACAGCCCGAGTCACTTCACCACTTCTTAATCAAACTCATTAAAAAAAACGGTACCGTTACCACCCAGACTTTTGATCCTGCCAACTACACCAGCTACATAAGCTCCTTCCTTCCATCTCTATCTAAAAATACATACCTAAATTCTATAATTTAATAGGATTTTCTCTCGATTCTAATTATACGTGGGAAAAGTTTAAAATTAACAAAACTTTTGTGGAGTGGTGACTACACACATAATTTCCTCCTCCTTCACTCAACCGAATCGTGGGTGGAATTGAGAAAGTTTGATTGCAAGTCGTCCGTCTTCTCTATCATAATCAGGCACATGAATGAAAGTGAACAGGTATGATAGGATAGGAAATGGAGATTTATTTAACATAGGCAGATAATGAAAACATCGAATAACATCTGTGGGAACATGGTCCCTCTGTCCCTACGCCACGCTTCCGCGGCCACTGCTGGGTTCATACTGTAAATATTTCCATATGCATATATTTACTAAATATGCATATGTAAATATGTATCTGTCAGCCCCACACGTACCTTTGCACGCTCACTTCACCACGAACGAAGCCCAATTATTATTTGCCCCACTGTTTCTTCAACTTTCGCTTTCTCTCCCTCGTCAGACATGTCATCGCACCAAAAGCAAAACATGTTGATGACAGGGAACGATAAACATCTCTCGTCTCTCAACGGACAAGAAATCAGTTCAGAGACGTAAATAAATGTGTACCTTAATTAAGAAAATCTCATTTTTTTATCTCACAAAATGAATTATTTTATCCGATTTCATTCATTCAGACTTCTGACCAATATTTAAGTCGGTGTGTTTGAGGGATTAATTTGCATGTACATTCATTCATTTCTCTCCTCTTGTTATATGTGCTCTTTCTGCAACTCTGAGAAAATAATAGGCTCGGAAATCCTGATTATTACTACACTCTAAGAAACCCGGTAACTAAGTTATTACCAGGCGGAGTATCTATGTGACTCTACCGCATGGTAATTAATTTGTTATTGAGTGGTAGACATTTTGTTACCAAACCGGTAATAACCCCAGTCGCGAAATTTGAAAATATTACCAGTTGGTAACAAAATGTCTACCACTCAATAACAAATTAATTACCATGCGGTGGAGTCACATAGATACTCCGCCTGGTAATAACTTAGTTACCGGGTTTCTTAGAGGGTACGAATTCTATTTTTGGACATAAATATGTTTTGTCCTTGCATTGTGTGATCAATCCACGACGCCCTTGATCACTTTCCCAATCAGACCAATGCACCCTTGTTCTTTGCCAATTTTTGCATTGTCCTTGATCGGGTCTGGCAAAAAAATCCTTAGTTTTTTGCACTGTATCTCATCTTTTATCCATACTTTCTCCACATCAATTTCCTTTAAAATCTTATCTGGTTAACAAGTTCCAGATAGATCAAATAAATAATTATTTCCCTCCCTCCTACGCATCCCCACTAACTCAGCCACCCACCCGTGAACATATTAAATTTCCTGAACCACACATAATTGCATTCTATTTAAATACAAATGTATTTGTCCCATTTCTTCTGCATGAATAATATCTCGCTCTTGAAATGACGTCGAGTCGAAAAGTACTTTTTTTTCCTCCACTTTCACCCATTCAAACTCCGATTTTATCATGATGCATGTATACATATTTGCGGACAGTGGCCGCGGAAGGGTGGATGGGGACAGAGGGGAGAATACCCCCACGGTTAAAAGTAAATGATAATCGAAAATAAAATATAAGAATTTTGTAATCGTTTTTAGCCCGATATTTGCATAGAATTCTGGCGTTCTTCTTACCAGTGGACGCGGAAGTGTGGGTGGGGACAGGGGGGACAATGTCCCCACGGTTATTCGATATCCCCATCATATGCCCATATCATATAAACCCTACCTCCCCTATTCTACATTGTTAATGTCCCCCAGATGTCCCTACACCTTCCGCGGCCACTGTTTTCCGCAGATATTTTTATATACTTATAATTTCCTCCCCATTGTCATTGTCATCTCGAATTCCCATTCTTCCCGAAAAAAAGAAGAAACATATTTATTTTTGCTGGTACATATGTTCCCGAAATAAATCTGTTTTTTTCCTTCTTCTCTTATCATCTCCCCACATTCACACCCCGACACAAAAACCATGCAGCCATCCGCGACAAGATGAAACCGGTTGATAAGCCCGACCAGAAATAGACTTTTTCTCCATTGAAAAGTTCCACGAGCGGAGATGATAAGCGCCCACGTCACGTCCCTGCCCCGTCAACACGGAGAAAACTCGGCGAACCAAGATGTCATTGGAATTTTAATTGATGTGTGTAAATACAAGGACCAAGTTTAAAAAAGTGTCTAATTTTAGACCCACTAAACTCTGCAGACAAAGTCAATTCCCAACTTTTACTTGGAGAGGGCAGGGTTTCGGGGGAGAGAAAGTAACCACGTGGGAGAAGTAGGGGGAGAAAGTGGGTTTTTTGCAGGAAAATATTTTGACCTGCAAGAAATGCAAGGTGCAAGAAACTAAGCCCCTGTATTTCATACGGCGCGTATTTCTTGCACCTCGAATTTTTTGGTTGTTTTCCAGTGCAAGAAATCTAGCATGTTTTTCACACTTTCTTGCAGTTTCTTGCGCTTTGGATTTCTTGCAGTTTTTTGCACATTGCATGTTTTGCACCTAGCAAAACGTTACGTTTTTTACGTCTTACGTTTTTTTCTATACAGTAAGTACAAAGTGCAAGAAATGTAATAGTGATTGGAGTACAAGTATCTAACCAGTTGAAAGAAATAACTGCAAGAAAGTATTTTTTGAAGTTGTTTTTTCACCTGCAAGAAATGCAAGAAATGCACGGCGCAAGAAATGCCTTCCCGCCGCTATACTTATAATTGCGCGTGGCAAGATGGCACATATTTCTTGAACTTTCTCACAGTTTCTTGCACCTCGCATTTCATGCGTTTCTCGCTTTGCAGAGCAAGAAATGCAGTAAGAAACGGCACCCTGGTTTCGTACTTAGTGAAAGCAAGGTTTTTCTCATCCCAATCAAAATCAGGGTGAGGTTGTGCCTACGACAAACTTTTTCCCTTATCTTTTCCTCATAATCATCGCCTTGTGGTTTGGTTTAGGTTTGCTTTGGAAATTGTGGTCTGCCTTTCTTGGCTGAGCTATTTTTAGCTCGACAAAAGTGAAAATCAAATTCCACTAAAATAAAAGTTCCCAAAAGGTGTGATAAGTAATTCTGATTCAATGAATTCCACTTGTGCCGAATTAATTACGTTGTTAAAAGTAACAGAGATTCAATTCGAGACAGATTTTAGCTAAGTTTTTGTTACTCTGAAGTTTATTTTTGGTATTTTTTAAACTTTCCCATCAGAAACTTAGATATTCTCGAATTATGTATGCAAGGATGAAATCTAATCCATAATTTATTTCAGTTTTGAAGGTTATGCTTTTCTATTTGTTTAATGTTTTGGATTTCCAAAGGTGTGATACATACATAATTCCGATTCTGACAAATCAATTTCCGCTTTCCCACTTAATATGTTACGCAACACAAATTTTTGTCGAGACAGATTTTAGCTGATTTTTTGTTATTCTAAAGTTTATTTTCCAAACCTTTCCTTTCAGAAACTTAGATTTTTATTTTCGATGCAAAATTATGTATGTATTCAAGGATGAAATCTAATCCATAATTTATTCGAGTTTTGAAGGTTATGCTTTTCTATTTGTTTAATGTTTTGGACTTCTAAAGGTGTGATACATATTTAATTCCGATTTTCTGACAAGTCAATAAATTCCACTTAATATGTTAAGGGTAACCCATTTGTTTCTTTGTTAAACCTATAGTAAATTAAATTCTAGACAGATTTTAGATGATTTTTAGCTTCTTCTATACCCTATTTCTTATTACTGTGTTACGACATATTTAAATCATTACAATTAGCTACTCTAAAGCCTACTTTTTTAAAATTTCTTATCAGAAAGTTATTTAGCCGCATAATACATTTGCGATATGAAATTATGTATGCAAGGATGAAATCTAATCCATAATTTATTTCAGTTTTGAAGGTTATATTTGTTTAATGTTTTGGTTGGTGCAAATCCGGTTGGAATGGAAATTCGGATAAACGGAGGCATAAATAATAAAGTTATCAGCATATTTTACACGTATTTACATAAATCTTCACTGCCTGCAACTAACCATAATTATTGAGTAGCATGAGCTACTTTATGTTAATACTTTGTCCGTCTGTCCGTCCGTCGGTCTGTCTGTCTGTAGGATAACGGGAGAATGCGTTGAGATAATCGAGATCTATTTTACATACGACCCCAGGGAGAGGATCTTATCAACTTTTTTGGTAATTGGACCACCCCCCGCCCTCGAGGTCAGGGGGGGCGTGGTCACATATTTGTAGCTGTTTCACCCTATTGCTACATTCCGTTTATTAATTTGAACCAATAATAAATTGTAGAATTTCTTTGGCTGCACGAAATTTCCCCGGCTG